ACCCACCTGGCACACTGACCCCCCGCCTCACCCACCTGGCACACTGAATCCCCCGCCTCACCTTCCTAGCATAATGCACCTTCCTGACCCAGCTATGCCACCCCTCACTGAGTCAGTTACATTGCATACATACCCTTGTCAGGTCTGTGCTGCTGGATGTTTAATTAAATGCAAATGCAATTTAATGCAAAAGAGGTATAGTTTCCATGGCTATTCTCCTTGCTGCTGGATTTGGAACTTCCTGGATAGATTTGTAACAAGTGCCACCTGTCTAGGAATCTCCAGCGCAGAAAATATCAAACGGGAAGTCGGTGAATTTTAATCCAGTCAGGGTCAGAATAAGGCTTTGGGCCGTAAGTAGAAAATAAGGGCCATTGTTATCTGCCCACAAAATACAAAGCATGAGCTTTCTGTGTTGCAGCTTCCATGTACATTACCAGGATCAGATAATAAATATAGAAATTAATCATTTCACTGTATGGAATGGGAATAATGCTGAAAAACAGACACATTGTTGTCAAAGCTTTTCATATTGCGCTCATCAGGACATTTTGCAAGTATACCAAGGTAAAGGAAAAACAAATCTTTTTATACTTTCATTTTAAGACAGGCCAGTTGCCTGCGATTGGTCAAAACATCACTCTCAGAAGTGAACCAAAGTCAGCCTGAGATAACAAGGTGTAGAGCTGGATGAACACAGCAGGCCAAGCAGCATCAGATGAGCAGGAAGGCTGACGTTTCGGGCCTAGACAGCCTACCTGGTTTAAGATTAAGCAACATTTGGTGATTAACTGTCAGTCATCATCTAACAGTGCACTTCGCAATGGCAATGCCTCTACTGATCAAAGCCCACTTACTAACCAAGCACCACTTCCCCTCATATGGTATTAAAAAGGTTGTTTCTCCCTTTAAAAACTGAAAGAACTGCGGATGCTGTAAATCAGAAACAAAAACAGAGGTGCCTGAAAAAGCTCAGCAGTTCTGAGGAAGAGGTCACCGGACTCAAGACATTAATGCCGACTTCTCTTCACAGATGCCGCCAGACTTGCTGAGCTTTTCCAGCAACTACTGTTTTTTTGTTGTCCCTCTACAGCGGTATTCTTGCAAATGGTCCTGATGATTGCAGGCCAAAAAGGTTGAACAAAACATCTCTTTCTTCAGCGATACAAACTAATTCACGAACATAAAATCATTAGCAAAGCTGGAAAGTTAAGCTGAGATCCATTATGAAATCAAGAAGCTGTGGTTGGAACAAGAATTGAAATTTGTCTTAACTCTGTATGCTTTTTTAAAATAATTTAAGAATTAAAATGGCACTGGATTAATTATGGCAACTTATGCACATTTTACTATATTTTTCATAAATACATACAACAAACTACAATACTGTACTATAAGTAGGGTTTAGATTCTCTCAGGTTTCCTGCAGATTGACCTTATATTTTTGATCACAGATGTACAAACCATATATATTTTAAACTCTGATTTCACATTCTAACATAGCCAAAACCTATTAGTCTTCACATTCAATGCTCAACATCCCAGGTATTTGATTTGTGACAACTCCAGGATTAAAGGCTATAAACAACTAGAAAGCTGCTGTTAAGATGTTCCTCACTGTTTGGCAAACTGACAGCAAACACACTGTCAGAATACCAGGCACCCAGCCATGAATTTCTCACGTTTTTGGAAGAGCTCCTCAGTTGAAAGCCGATGGTCTCAGTGCTATCCACCATTTGGAGTGTGCATGATACAACCAGGAGAAGGAACAGACAACGCGGTGTGGGAATATTTCTCGCTGCAGGATTCATTGCTGATTATCCCCCATCCTATCAACAGCCTCTGAAGTATTTCACAGCTCCACAGTCTTGCTATTTTCATGACTCGTGTGGGATGTGTGGCAAGCAAAAGGGGAAATTTCTGCCTCATTCTCAGCCTTACAGAGACCTGCTCTTCAGAGTGACAATTGGTTCAAAGATGCTCAGTTCAGAAATATAACAATTTTAGTCAAGAATAAACTCTATGCTGCAGGGAGCCGTTTCCACGTCACTGGTTGGCTATCTTCCAGGCAGTTATTAGCCATTTGCCATGTGCAAATGTTAGGACTTTTTAGAATAATGCAGTAGGATGATGCATGTGCTAACGTCACTGTCTAGTAATCCCAGGGCTCTCAGTACATGGGATCAAATCCCACCACTACTGGAGTTTCAATTCAATTTATAGACCTGGAATTGAAAGCTATTCACAGAATCCCTACAGTGTGGAAGCAGGCCATTCAGCCCTTTGAGTCCACAATGACCCTCCAAAGAGCACCCCAAACAGACACCCCCTCCTACCCGATTCCTGTAACCCTGCATTTCCCACAGCTAACCCATCTAGGCTGCACGTCTTTGGACTGTGGGAGGAAACCGGAGCACCCGGAGGAAACCCACGCAGACATGGGGAGAACGTGCAAACTCCACACAGACAGTCGCCCGAGGGTGGAATCGAACCCGGGTCCCTGGCGCTGTGAGGCAGTAGTGCTAACCACTGTGCCACCGTGCTGCCCAGTTACTATAAAAAATTCAGTTAGTCTTGTTTAGGGAGAGGGCTCTTATCATAAACAAAGTTTACCAATTTGCTTTGCTGTTCATTAGTTATACCTGCAGCCTCACTATCTTTCCTCTCCCACCTCAGCTCCTCAAAGGCAGAAACACCCACACCCATGTCTGTATAACAATTCCGGGTGACCAGACCACCCCACGTTCCATTCTCCACCACAAAGGGGCACTGCCCTGGGGATATAAGGGCCCCTTGTCCTGGGTCTCCATTTCAACAGTTTCCAGAACTTTCCAATACTCGCTTCTGTGCCAGCTACACTCCTGGTGATCTGCCCAACTGCACTACCCTCTCCACCTCCTTCCCCTTCACTGTCTCCCCTCTCCCTCACTCTGCTCCCTCCCCCACGCCCCAGAACCCTCGCAGTGCACATCCAGCAGCTGTGACCCCCCCAACCCTGTGCCACCCTGCCCCTCCCACCCATAGTTGCTCACCCCGCTGCCCTGCGCTGAATCCCATTTTCCCATCACCCTACAGTGCAATCTGACCAATGCTGGCTCCTGGTCAAGTCACTGGTCATTTGTAAACTTGCCCCTGTCTCATCGTCAAACCCCACTGTGCCCTCCCCACAGCCCATCTTTGTGATGGGAAAAAGGTTTGAGCAGAGATTGGGTTAACTGGGCCTGGAGTTCACTGGAAACCTAATGGATAAGGTACTGGCCTCCTAAGCCAGGGACTGTGGGTTCATATCCCGCCTGGGGTGAGGTTAAATTCTAAGGACGGCATGGTGGCTCAGTGGTTGGCACTGTTACCTCACAGCACCAGGGACCCAGGTTCAAAGCCAGCCTCGAGCGACTGTCTGTGTGGAGTTTGCACATTCTCCCCGTGTCTGCTTGGGTTTCCTCCCACGGTCCAAAGATGCGCGGGTTAGGGTGGATTGGCCATACTAAAATTGCCTCAGAGATAGTAGGAACTGCAGATGCTGGAGAATCTGAGATAACAAGGTGTAGAGCGGGATGAACACCTTTTCTGAAGAAGGGTCTAGGCCCGAAACGTCAGTTTTCCTGCTCCGTTCATCCAGCTCTACACCTTGTTATCTAAAATTGTCCATAGTGTTTAGGGATGTGCAGGCCGGGTGGATTGGCCATGGGAAAATGCAGGGTTGCAGGGATAGGGGAATGGGTGGAGGGGTCACTGTGGACTTGTTGGGCCGAATGGCCTGTTTCCACACTGTATGGATTCTGTTCTAAGTTCAGAAGAATGAGAGTGAAATGTATAAAAGTTCTAACATGGCTGGACAGACTATTACATTTTATGACTGACCTGCATGGGCAGTAGTTTACGGCTGACCTGTACACAGGGAGGATGCTTTCCCCTGGTTGGAGAGTCTCGAACCAGGGGTCGCAGTCTCAGGATTCAGGGTAAGACCATTTAGGTCTAGGATAAGGAAACATTTGTTCACTCAGGGGGTAGTGAACCTGTGGAATTCTCTACCACAGAAAGCAGTGGAGGCCAAGTCAGTGAATTTATTGACTGATAAATAAAAATTTATTAAAAGGTGTACAAGGAGAAAGTGGCATTGAGATAGAGGATTGGCCATGTTCATACTGAAAGTCACAGCAGGTCCAATGGGTTGAATGGCCTACTCCTGCTCCTAGTTTGTGAGTTCCCATGTAATCTTCTTCAGCCCCAGGACTCTCGTGTTCACCTCATCCTCAGATTTCTTTCTGATTTCCATCGCTCCGCCCTTGGCAGGTCCTACCTCCAGCTCCCCGGGCCCCCCGCGCTCAGGAATTCTCTCCCTAAAGCCCTCTGCCCTTCCACGTCGCTGTGGTCCTTCACAAACAGCCCTCAGAAGGTGACCTCCCACCCACGTGAGGCTCTGGGTCAAGATGCAGTCTGGGAGGTTTGATAGCGAAGGGGGTGTTGGGAACCTCCTCTCTGCAGCAGAGGCAGTGACGGCCACAAGGGGGCACCAGCCCCAATGCCAGGCAGCTGCCCATGAGGGTCCAGTGGTAGGTGCCAATCCCAGAGGGGTTAGCCCGCAATCTCCGGGAAGGGAGGAAATTCCTCAGAATTCAAACGGTGTTTCACTGCGTTAAAACAAAATATATGTAATCGTTACAAGAACGTAACACAGCAGCCGAGTTATCAGAGAGGATTTCGAAGATGGAACCATTCCCTGGGAAACACAAGCCGCGCGCGAACTCTTGCCCCTCGGGTGGTAGCACTTCTCTGACGTGCCCGCAATCTGAGGGGAACGTCTATCGGTCCCTCCGACCTCTCAGCCATCCCTTCAGCACCCGTCCTGGTACTGCATGTGCCACTGTGCTCACCCAGCACCCATCCGTGTAGCTGCCCCCCCTGCCATTTCATCACAGAACCCCTACAGCGTGGAAGCAGGCCATTTGGCCCATTGAGTCCACAGTGACCCTCTGAAGAGCAACCCATCCGGACCCATCCCCCCTGCCACCAATACCCCACCCATTCCCTTGTAACCTTGCATTTCCCTTAGTTAATCCACCTCACCCACACATCCCCGGACACTATGGACAATTTAGCATGGCCAATCCACCTAGCCCACACATCTTTGGACCGTGGGAGGAAAGCGGAGCACCCAGAGGAAACCCACGCAGACACAGGGAGAATGTGCAAACTCCACACAGACAGTCGCCCGAGGGTGGAATCGAACCTGGGTCCCTGGCGCTGTGAGGCAGCAGCGCTAACCACTGAGCCACTGTGACGTCCCCATCCTCATAGAGTCATGACCATAACCTCCAGAGAGCCGAAACAGCCTGACACCTTCTAACGATGATGACAAAGATGAGTTTAACTACATCCACCCTGCTGTCCCCATCTCGGTGACTTCCTCCATCCCACAGCATGGGGCTTGTGTTCTGCTATTTCCTGAGTCACTCACAGGAACTGACTGAAAGGGAGGCCAGTGGATTTTACCAGGATACTTTATACCAGTCCTGAACAAATTAGGAAATCGGCCACTTGGCCCCTAGAGCCCGTCCTGGAATTTTAATCGTGTTTTTCTCACTTCTAATAAGATGATAAACTTACAATGTCCAGGCTACAGAAATTACCGTGGAATCGCAAAGCTAATTCAAGGTTCCCGATAAGATTTTAGACTGTGCTCTACAAAAATATAACATCGGGTTAGCGTGGTCACTACTGTAATCAGAAGTTAGAAGATGGAACATTTCCTGTGTTATATGTATACCAACTAACAAGTCCCACTCAGGGCAATAAAGTTGTAATGGCCCTACAGGAGTATAGGATTGCTCTCTCATTTTAGGCTGAGGATCATCACAGCCTCAGACAAGGGGAGAGGTTGAGAGAAAAAAATTTTCATGTAACTTCAGCCAGTGTGGGAATCGAACCCGGGCTGTTGGTCTCACTCTGTTTTGTGTACCAACCAGCTGAGTTAAACTGATACTGCAGCTCTAACAAACTCTTTGCAATAATTGCTTAATAGTACTGAACTTAAACACTTGCAAGATCGACGTTTTCTCCTGTTGGACTCAGCGAGACTGAAACGCAAGAAAACCAACCTTACAAAGGAAACAGCAATTTCTTGCCCTTTAAGTTGTTGTCCTCACACTTCAGTCCCTCCTGATGAATGGCAGAAGAGAAACTCTGCCCTGAATCCTCCTTCTGCCCAATGTTAATAGCTATTTCTGTCAAGTTTGTACCTGCTTTATTTCCTTCTTGATTTTGCTGATTCCAGTTCTCTCAGTCTTTGTAGGTCCCGCGTGACCAACTTCATGGATGGAAATGATGGGACTGATGGCAGCAGAGTCGATGGGTTGTACTAGAATACGCAACACAAATGCTTTTGGGAAATTCCATATTTGACCATTGCATTACAATGTAAAACTAGGAGTGACCAACAACAAAAATAGCTTGCATTTATATGGCCTCCTTACGGTAACGATACATCATAAGGTGCTTCAGGGGATTGTTATCAAACAAACAGGTACACAGTTCCTCGAAAGTGGAGTCATAAGTAGACAGGGCGGTGAAGAAGGCATTTGGCATGCTTGTCTTCATTGGTCAGAACATTGAGTACAGGAGTTGGAAGATCATGTTGTGGCTATCCAGAACATTGGTGAGGCCACTTTTAAACTACTGCGTTCAATTCTGGTCTCCCTGCTCTAGGAAGGATGTTGTTAAACGTGAAAGGGTTCAGAAAACATTTACAAGGATGTTGCCAGGGTTGGAGGGTTCGAACTACATGGAGAGGCTGAATAGGCTGGGACTATTTTCTCTGGAGTGTCGGAGACTGAGGAGTGACCTTATAGAGGTTTATAAAATCATGAGGGGCATGGATAGGGTGAAGAGACAAGGTCTTTTCCCCAACCTGGGGGAGTCCAAAACTAGACGGCATAGGTTTAAGGTGAGAGGGGATAGATTTAAAACATACATAAGGGGCAACATTTTCATGCAGAGGGTGGTGTGTGTGTATGGAATGAGCTGCCAGAGGAAGTGGTGGAGGCTGGTACAGTTACGACTTTTAAAAGGCATCTGGATGGGCATATGAATAGGAAGGGTTTAGAGGGATATGGGCCAAATGCTCGCAAATGGGACAAGGTCAGATTGGGATATCTGGTCAGTGTGGACAAGTTGGGCCAAAGGGTCTGTTTCCGTGCTGTATGACTATAATATAAAATATGACATCAGGCTATAAAAGGTCAGATAATCCAAAACTTGGTTAAGTAGGTTGGTTTTAAGGAGTACTTTAAAATGGAGAAGCAACGGGTTCACAGGTTAGGGAGAGAACTTCTGACTTTACAGCACAGATAGCTGAAGATTCAACAGTGAGTGACAGGCCAGTAATAATTGAAAGACACGAAACTGAGTACTATGTCCAGCTTTGGTTTCCTTATTAAGTCACAGACTCTTTTATCCACCTTGTACATACCGAACAGTGGCACAGTGGTTAGCACTGCTGCCTCACAGCGCCAGGGACCCAGGTTCAATTCCACCCTCAGGTGACTGTCTGTGCGGAGTTTGCACATTCTCCCCGTGTCTGGCGTGGGTTTCCTCCGGGTGCTCCGGTTTCCTCCCACAGTCCAAAGATGTGCAGGGTAGGTGGATTGGTCATGCTAAATTGTCCATGGAGTGGGGGGGGTTGCCATAGGGAATGTGGGACTACAGGAGAAGGTGAGTCTGGGTGGGGTGGACTTCAGGGTGTTGGTGCAGACTTGGTGGGCCGAATGGCCTGTTTCCACATCGTGGTGTTCTTAAGGAAAAAAAAATCCCAAACTAAACTAGTCCCACCTGCCTGCGCTTGGCCCATATCCCTCCAAACATTTCTTATTCATGAACTTATCCAAATGTCTTTTAAATATAACTGTACCTGCATCCACGACTTCCTCTGAAAGTTCATTCCACATACAAACCACTCACTATGTAAAAGAAACTGCCCCTCATGTCTTTTTTAAATCTTTCTCCTCTCACCTTAAAAGTATGGCTCCTCATCTTGAAATCCCCTGCCATTCACCTATCTATGTCCCTCATGATTTTATAAACCTTTATAAAGTCAGCCCTCATCCTCCTCAGCTCCAGTGAGGAAACTCCCAGTGTATCCAGCCTCTCCTTATACCTCAGACCCTCCATTCCTGACAACGTCCTGGTAAATCTCTTCTGAACCCCCTCCATCTTAATAATATCCCGAATTAACACAAGAAGCAGTTCAGACAAGATTCACTTGACAGACTCCTGGGATGAAGTGGGAGGGTGGGGGGGCGGTTGTTGTAGGCGGAGAAAGGTTGAGCAGACTGGGCCTCAACACTCTGGAGTTTAGAATGAGAGATGATCTTATTGAAACATATAAGCTGGGCAAAAAGGGTCTGGAATGTACTGCCTGGCAGGGTAGTCAAAAGTGGCAAACTTCACTTCAAAAAGTCAACTTGGGAGTGTCATAACATTGGATGCTATAGGCTAGTGCAGGGAAGTGGGACTGCGGTAGGTAGCAGTATATTGTTGGTGCAGATCTGATGGGCAGAAGGGCCTCTTCTGTGTGATTTTATGGGCCCCGAGGGGCCATGAGAGGGTGGATGCTGAGAAGGTGTTTCATCCCGAGGCACTGACTTGAACTAGGGGACACAGCTGAAGGGCGAGATTCTGCTTTTAAAGAAGAGAATTTCTTCTCTCAGCGGGGTAGCGAATCTGTGGAATTCTGTGCCACAAAGGGGCTGTAGAGGCTGGGTTGGTGAGTACACTCAAGGCTGAGAGAGGTAGGCTCTTAATCAGTAAGGGAATCAAGGATTATGGAGGAAAAGGCAGGAACATGGAGTTAAGGATGACCAGCTCAGACATGACCTCATTGAAGGTATTATGGACCAGACCAGACCAGACCTCCTCAAAATATTTTAAGAAAGGAGCCTAGATCGTGGCTGTTAGTTATGTTAAAGGCAAATGTGAAGGGCCATGTTCCAGATGCAACGCATCTGGTCAAACTACTCGACGTTGAGCAAAAACACAATTTATTTAAAAACTGTAGTTGAAATACAAACAAAAGAAAGAGGAACTGAGGATAACTTAACTCTATTGAAAATCTTAACTGAATAATAGATACTGTAAGTGTTACTAATTAACTGTTCCAATACAGTAGTATCCCATAAACACACCCCCTTGGCAAGAAAGGCAAATTCAGAAAATTAGATTTAGTAACCCAGAGAGAAACCCCAGCTTCTAGCTGTAACCGAGAGCAGGAAAAGATAGCTTTGACTTCTTCAAACCCACAATAGCAACTGCTTAAAACTAAATCTAAAAACCAAAACAAAAACGAGAAAGCCTGGTCTGTGACAGCTGGCCACACCCAGCCAGACTCCCTCTATTGTTTCAACTTGTTTTAAAAAACCCTGAACGCCTCACAAGCTGTTTACTCCAGTGATTTTGGTAGACTGCTTGAAACCTCTGCCTTACAATCTCTCCTCAAAAACCAAATCCAGGACAAAATAGCCTCTTAAAGTCACAACGTTGTCACAAATGGCAGAACAGACTCGATGGGCTGAATGGCCTAATTCTATTCCTACGTTTTACAGTCTTATAACCAATAGTCTCTCAATAACATAAATAGGAGCTTATGGTCTTTTGAAGACGGTATACCTTACTTTCTATCTCACTCACTGCAGTGCAAAAGGCTAAATGAGGCGAATGGCCTCTGAAAATGCTGGAATGGTTCTTTGCCTCTGTTTCCAGGTGGTTGCAAATCAGCTAATGAGAGAGTTACGTTCTGAGGTGACTGCGATAGAGGTAGACTGGACCAGTCGCAGAATGGTAACAAAGATGGCTGGGATCGTGTCAGCAAACAGTGTCATATTTACTTCAGAGCACCCCCTGCAGAGTGGGAGTGTGCCTGGATCCAAGTTAAAGACCTCCGTGGGATTGGGGCTCGCATTAGGACACGCAGCGTTGGGCCTGCAAACCCAAGTCCCAATGCTAGGCATTGCATGCGGGATGGGAGCCATAGGGGAATATAAACCAAACAACCGCGGCAATTTTAAAAATCAGACAACATCAAAATAGGTGCCAAATCCGAGGGTATAAATTAATAATCAACAATAATTTCGTCACGGTGAAAAACGAACTTGTTCTTGACAAGCAGCAATGTTACAGTTATAATGCTAACACTGACCACTCTTTTCAACTCCAAACTCCTTTCCACTCAGAATGTGGTGAAGCAGCTTCTTCATGTCAAAAGGGCTCAGGTTCATCAAAGTTTCGGAAGCCTCCTCCCCTACACATCCGAAGAGAACATGGTTTCATTAACAAATACCAACAAGATAATGCATGCAGTGTGCCACACACATACTCTGTTGCCAATCAGGACAGTGTTTGTAAATCTCACTGGCTTTTCACCATTTGCATGTCCCTGCTCAGAGTCACTGAGTGGAACTGAATGTCCTCCCCTCGGTCAGTTTGGGCTCGAGAGGGCATTTAATTGAGCAGGATGTTGCTTACTGCCTTGTCACCTTTTCCCCAGTTAAACTGCTGGATTGTCTTCCTGTTCCCGCTGCCAATTAAGACGCAGAAGTTGCCAATTAATGCCCACTTAAAAAGCTTTATCTAGGCAAAGCTGATATCCACTCAGCAATAGGCAGGGTGTTCGCGGCTCTACGAAAGGGTTAATATTGGCGTTGCATGAAGCTCTACCCAAGCTCATGATGCCGCATAGTCTTTGGATGAAGCGAAGGAAGTCTACAATGAGATCCTGATGGAGACGGGGTGGCATGGTGGCTCAGTGGTTAGCATCGGGTTCCAGGGATGGGACGAGTTTGGGCGGGATGCTCTTCGGAGGGTTGGTATGGACTTAATAGGCTGAATGGCCTGCTCCCATACTGTAAGGAATCTATGAATCTGTCCATGAGACAGATATGCCACCTCTGGCTCCTGACGGACTTCATTATTATGTCCAACAAGCCAACATCATTTGTTTCCATCACTATCATAGACTAAACTGCATCTTATTATCTAAGTCGCTGTTTGATAATTCAGACTTGAGTACTGCTGACAAAGTTTTGTCTAAATTTTCCCATCTTGCACCATTCAGTATATCTGCAAGAATACTGACATAAAGGGGAAAAACATTTTATACGCTGTTAAGAAGAAATGTGCTAATTGGTTAGCAAATGGGTTATGATCGCTAGAGATGTTGCCATAGAGAATGCACCAGTTTGATGATGACTGCCAGCTAACTGTCAAGTTTTGTTTAAATTTAAACCAGGCAGGTTGACTCTGTCCTCGGGCAAGTGCGTTGACCAAAATGATTGGCTATCATGTATTTTGTTGAGTTGAAACAGATGCGATGTGTAGACATGTTCTTCCTGTCTACGAAGAGCAGAGCTCTGTGCAGTAATACACATCGCTTCCAGTAGGGCAAAGGGCCTGTATGTCTAGTAGGACATTGTCATTCAAGCTCACAATCTCAAATGTCAGCATAATTCTTAGCACTTCTCAAGATTATGTGCTAAATGCTGTCCAATCATGGAATCAGATCTAATCTTTGGCACTGTGTTTTGCAAGCATTATCAATACCTCGCCTGTAGTGAGTAATGTGGTACATAAATTTGAATGCAATGTAATGCTGGGTGTCTTTTATCATATACCATATTCACTTGGCTTGACCAATCAGAGCCAACCAGCCTGGTTTAAGATTTAAACAAAGCTTGGCAGTTAACTATCAGTCATCATAAACCGGTTTGTTCTCCTTGGCAACAGTACTGCCAGTGTCCCCTTGCCCAAACAATCAGCACTCCTCTCTCATACAGCATAAATGTTGTTTTCTCTCTACTTTTGCATTGTTGTGAAATGTCCTGATGAGTGAAAGACAAAAAGCTATGACAAAATGGGTCTTTTCTCAGCCATACTTGTTCAGCATGGAGTCATTAACCCTGGAATATTCTTTAAACTTCAACACAATGGGCCCTCTCACAGAAATTATTTCATATCATTTCTTTACATGCCATGCTTAAAAGTTTGACTGGGACAAGATATAAACAAATAAGCAACAAATTTCATGTCAAGCTCAAAGCGAACACGAGCACATCTTTTGTGAGGACGGGACATTATGTAGTAATCAACTGCAGAACCATATTTTTCCACACTCCCAGGAATCTATGCAACAATAGAGATGGGGAATGCAAGGGGAACGGAATATTAAACTGGGGAAGTTTTACTGCAGCTGGACAGGGCTTTGGTGAGACCACAGCTGGAAGATGGCGTACAGTGTTGGTCCCACTTGTTGAGAGCAGTTTATCAATCCACTGAGAGGGTTTATCTTATGAAGAAAGTTTTGAGTGGATTGGGCTGGCCTGAGAGTTTGGAATAACGAGAATACTAATCTTTGTGTTTATTTTATTGGTTGATTGATTGATTTATTGTTGCGATATACAGTGAAGGAGGGAAGTTAACACAGCGGTAGTGCCCCTGCCTTTGAGCCAGGAGGTCCAGGTTTAAGTCCCACTTGCTCCCGAAGTGTGTAGTAATATGGAGGGTCCTTTTGTGAAGTCGTGGTAGTATCTCTACCCCTGGACCAGGAGGCCCTGTCTCAAGTCCCACCTGCTCCAGAGGGGTGTAATAAATATCTGAACCGGTTAATTAGAAAAACACAGTAAAATGTGTTGTTTTGCGAAATACACAGGAAGATCATATCATACAAAGTGCATCAGGGTAGCAAGAACAGAGTGCAGAATACAGTGTTACAGCCGCAGAGAAGGTGCAGAGAGAGACAGATCCAAATTAACATTTGAGAGGTCCGTTCAAAATTCTGATAGAGCCGGGGACGATTTATGAGATCCTGAAAGAACTGACAGAGTGGATACTCCTGTAGGCGAGGCCAGAACCAAGGGACAGAGTTTAACAATAAGAGGCCTCCCTTTCTAAGACTGAGATGAAGAGAATGTTTTTATTTGCAGACAGCAGTGGTGGCTGGGTCATTGTATTATGCGATGCAAAATCTGATAGGATTTTTTGTTTGATGGACAAGTAAAACAGATTAGTGGAGGAGGGGGGCAAGGTGAGGGTTGCAGGCAGGAAACTGGGTCTGGGGACCACAGCTAGACCAGCGACTGACTGGCAGAGCAGGCTCCTACGTTCCTCTAAGCACTTCATGCTGAGGTGTGGGCTCTGAGGGCGTGGTGCTCGTGTGGAGACAGGAGAGATGGGCTCTGCAGCGATGCTGACTTCGGCAGACGGGGCGGGGTAAACTGGATGAGGAAAAAGGGGCAGGCGGAAATAGCGGGGAGAGCAGCTTTCCGAACCGGGTGTTGTCCTCCACATACACACAGGCCTACCTGAGCAGCTAAGGCTGTAGGCCAGCTCTGTAGCCATCACCTGGATGATCAGACCAACTCGTAGCCTGAGCATTTCAGCAAAGAGGCAGGGCTCAGTCCTCACATACATCGCAAGGTAAACCATGATTTCCTGGTGGACAGGGCAGAGATAACGTGTAAATAACAGCAGCAGTGCAGTAACCGATAACCCCCGATTAACAAACACACACAGCCCTCACCCCAAGCGACCTACCTGAGTAAGGACGGCTAAGCTAATGTCTTGTCCACTTGCTTCATAAATAAGCTGCGCCAGTTCATTCGGTGGCAACGGTCTTGAAAAGAACAGGAAGGTGTCACGGTCCTACAGGCTTTCAAATCTTAGAGTAACAAATTGAGAAGTAAATCTAGAAATAAGCCCAAAGCTCAGGAGCAGCTGCAAGATCCACACTACACTCAGTCTACCATCATCTCTTCAATGCGCAGGGGAAAAGTTTTGGAAAGTGGTCAAAATCATCAGCTTTTGATATTTGTGGGACATCCCACCACTTAATATTTTTCCATCAACATCTAGAGACTAAAAATGAGTCCTCCAGAAGCTTGACACCATCCAGGACAAAGCAGCCCCCATTTGATTGGCACTATATCCACAAGCATCCACTCCCTCCACCACCGACGCTCAGTTGCAGCATTGTGTACTATCTACAAGATGCACTGCAGAAATTCACCAAAGATCCTCAGGCAGCACCTTCCAAACCCACGACCACTTCCATCTAGAAGGACAAGGGCAGCAGATATATGGGAACACGACCACCTTCAAGGTCCCCTCCAAGCCACTCACTATCCTGACTTGGAAATATATCGCCGTTCCTTCACTGTCGCTGGGTCAAAATCCTGGAAGTCCCTCCCTAATAGCATTGTGGGTCAACCTACTGCAGGAGGACTGCAGCAATTCAAGGAGGCTGTTCATCCACCACCTTCTCAAGGGCAACTAGGGATGGGCAAGAAATGCTGGCCAGCCTGTGACACCCACATCCCACAGATGAATAAACTAAAAATAAAGCAATCCTGTTGTCTTGGTAACCAGTAAGGTGGGGCATCCACTTGTAGAATGATAGAACATAGAACAGCATAGCACAGGCTCTTCAGTCCATGATGTTGTGCCGACCTATTATCCTACTAAGATCAAACTACCGTGCATACCCTACATTATACTATCCTCCACATAATGATGTGCCACCAAATAAAGCCATTTGGTCCATTATCCCTCTGCTGCTATCCAATTATTGCCATTCCATTGCTCAGCCCCCACGGCCCTGACAATCTTTACCTTTCAGTGCTGAACCAATTATCTGTTGAAATGTATGATTCAATCTGCATTTGGAGGGCACAACCCCAATCGTAACAACGTGCTGCACCGCTCTGTCCATCCCCTCTGCTGCTGTCACCAACCCCCCACCTCCCAAGCCCGGTGCGAATAGCTCCCCCTGAAACTGGGTCAAATACTCACGCTGTGATGGTCCGCTCTCGTGGCTCTGGGGGCAAACCCACCGTCAACTGCTTCTGATGGGACAGTAGAGCTGTGCAAGCCTAGACACCAAACACAGGACATGTCAATGACGCACGGTTTATAAAAGCAATCTGCGGGTGAAGATAAACGTTACAGCTCAATGCATAACAGGGCAGCAACACAGGAGGGAAAATGTTGACAGCTCGATTCTGAACACACACACAAACATATGCATTTTAATTGCGTCCCCCCCCCAACAAGGGGAAACATCCTCTCTGCATCGACCCGGTCAAGTCCCCTGAGAATCTCGCACGTTTCAAGATGGTCACCTCTCATTCTTCTAAACTCCAAAGAGTGTAAACTATATACCCAGTAACTCAGCTATCCATCCTCACCTCATAGCACAGAAACAGAAACTTGAAACAGGAGTAGGCCTTCAAGCCTGCTCCACCAGTTAATATGATCATGGCTGACCCTCTGTTTCAACACCACATTCCTGCTTTCTCCCCACACCCGTTGATGCCTTTAAAATCTGAAAAAAATGTCTCTCACTCTCTCTTGAATATATTCACTGATTTGGCCTCCACAGCCTTCTGTGGTTGAGAATTCCACAGGTTCACTACCCTTTGATTGAAGAAATGTTTCCTCATCTCAGTCCCATCCCATACCCCCGAGACTGTGGCCCCTGATTTATAAAAGCAATCTGAGGGTGAAAATGTACGTTACAGTTCAATGGGGAGAGCGTTCAAACTATGACATTCACTCCAGACAACTCTCAGTCTGCACAGATTTCAACGTGGTATTTTAATCACTGTCATATCTTGTTGAAAGATCATAAGGCATAGGAGCAGAAGTACACTGCTCTGCCATTCAATTATAGCTGATATGTTTCTCAACCCCATTCTCGTACCTTCTCCCTGTAATCCTTGATCTTCCCTTACTAATCAAGGGCCTATCTATCTCTGCTTAAAGACACTCAGTTACTTGGTCTCCATAGCCCTCTGCAGCAATGAGTTCCAGAGACTCACCACCCTTGGGCTGAAGAAATTCCTCCTCATCTCAGTTCTAAAGGGTCATCCCTTCACTCTGAGCCTGTGCCCTCTGGTTCTAGTCTCTCCTAGTAGTCGGAACATCTTCTCCACATCAACTCTGTCCAGGCCTCTCAGAATTCTGTCAGTTTCAATGAGATCCCCCCACCTCCCCATCGTTCTAAACCCCATGGAGTACAGACCCAGAGTCCTCAACTGCTCCTCATATGACAAGCCCTTCATCCCTGGGATCATTCTTGTAAACCTCCTCTGGATCCCCTCCAACGCTAGCACATCCTTCCTTTGATATGGGACCCAAAGCTGCTCACAATATTCCAAATGCAGTCTTCCAAATGCAGTCTGACCAGAGCCTTATACAGCCTCAGTAGTACATCTCTGTCTTGTATTCTTGCCCTCTTGAAATGAATGCTAAAGTTGCATTTGCCTTCCTGACTGCCAACTGAACCTGCATGTTAATCTTAAGTGAATCCTGAACTGGGACTCTGAAGTCCCTTTGTGCATCAGACTTTCGAAGCTTTTCCCCATTTAGAAAATAGTCTACACCTCTATTTGTCCCTACCAAAGTGCACAACCTCACACTTCCCCACATTGTATTCCACCTGCCACTTCTTTGTCCCCTCTCCTAGCCTGTCCATCTCCTTCTGCAGCCTCCCCGCTGCCTCAGCGCTACCTGTCCCTCCATCTGTGTTTGTGTCATTTACAAACGTAGCAACATTGCCCTCAGTTCCTTCGTCTAAATCATTAATGTATAATGTAAATAGCTGTGGCCCCAACACTGAACCCTACAGAATTCCACTCGTCACCGGCTGCCATCCTGAGAAAGATCCTTTATCCCCACTCTCTGCCTTCTGCCAGTTAGCCAATGCATGCCAGTGGCTTACCCCTAACACCATGGACTCTTAATCTTATTCAGCAAGCCTCTTGTGTGGCACCTTGTCAAAGGCCTTCTGGAAATCCAAATAGATCATGTCCAGTGGCTCTCCTTTGTCTACCTAGATTATTAGCTCCTCAAAGAATTCTAACAGATTTGTCAGGCATGATCTCCCTTTGACAAAACCGTGCTGACTCAGCCCTGTTATACCATGAAATTTCAAGTACTCCACAATCTCATCCTTAATAATGGACGTTAAAATCTTACCAATGATCGAGGGACAGGTTAATCAGCCTATAGCTTCCTGTCTTCTGCCTCCCTCCCTTCTTGAACAGGGGTTTCACATTTGCCATTTTCCAGTCCTCTGGGGTCCTCCCTGACTCCTGAAACATTGCTTCTACAATCTCTTCAGCTATCTCCTTCGCTCTGTGGGTCCCAGTGATTTATCCACCTTCAGGCCTTTCAATTGCCCCAGCACCTTTTCCTTCAGAGATGGCCTCTACGCTCACCCATGCCCGCCTGATGCCCTTCAAGTTCTGGTGGGCTGCTGATGCCTTCCAATGAGTGACTGGAAGGGTTGTGCCAATCCCTTGATGACACATACCTCAGCCAGAATCTCGATCCTCTTCTTCAACATGCCCGAGATGTAGCGGATCAATCCCCAGTCGAGGTTTTGGCCAGCTTTGCTATACAGCTCTGTCATCAGACTGCGTACAGTGGCGCAGTGCTGTCCTCCAACGTTTGTGTCCCAGTCCGGGCCTCTGGATCACAGCGAGGAGAGAGGGAGCAAACGTTTTTCAGTTAAAATAAAAAAATCCACACTTATTTCAACACCAAACGCTGTGCGTACTGCTAAAGGTCTGACAGCAGAACATCACCGTGACGCTATTGTCCTTTTTTTTGTCGTTAAATCTTTCACAGGAATCAAATACTTCATTCACTGCCCATCTCTAATTGCCTGTGAACTGAGTGGCTTGTGAGGGCTACTTCGGGGGGCAGTTCAGGATAAACTGCATTACTATGGGCATGGAGTCACGTGGAGTAGGTCAGACTGGGTGAGGCCTGCAGGTTTCCCTCACTCGAAAGGCATCAGAGATGGGTTTTAGCATGAGAGCTGTTATGGTCTCCAACACCCAGATCGGTTTTCAGCTCCAGATTTATTACGAACTGCATTTAAAGTTCCACCGGCTGGGATTCGAACCTATGTATCACCACGAGCACTTCTCTGGGTCTGTGGGTTACTGTAACACAGTGACGTTACTGCACTACACCATCTCCTTGACTCGCCGATTCCCAAAAAACAGAAGAGCAGGGGACCGCGTGTATCGATGGCCTGGTTGGAGAGTATAATCGGGACCAGAGGTCACTGGCAGGGATCTCCATGAAGATGGTTTCATCTATCGAGGGGCTGGAGAGTGGAGGGGGTACACAGTATGATGGAAACCTAAGGCCTGAGGCCTTTCCCCAAAGCCTCCCCTCCTTGGCCTCCCCCCTCAGCCTCACCCGAGGCCCACCACCCTCTGCCTTGTCTTGAAGCTTTCCCCCGATGCCTCCCTCCCCGAGGCCTAGAAGAAATGAGCCCCACAAGGGATCCTCAACTTCAATGCCCTCACACGAGGTCCGCCTACAGCAAAGGCACCTTTGCCAGTCTTCGCACGTGCCTCCGAAATGGAAAAAGTTTTGGGGCCGAGATTCCAAAACAAAATGCCACTGGCAGCAAATGGTGGGCGTGAGGGTGAAGGTTTGAGCCGACTGTGTGGCTCTGTGGGGCAGCACAGAGGGCAGTCCAGAGTCCAACAGCTCATTGAAGCCTCGTGAAGGCCAGGCCAGCCGAGGTGGCCAGTTTCCAGCGGGCAGCCTGGTGGCCTGGCCCCTCCTACACCACCCCCACCCCCCTCATCCAACCTACACCCTGGCACGGGTCTGTCCAACCCAATAAGGGGCCCCAGGTGACCCTTAAATGGGCAATTATTGACAACTGGTGCCCATGGGTTTTGGACAGTCAGTGGGGGGCGCTGGTGGAAATGGGTCCTTCCTTGAAGGAACTCTGGAATCATGGAAGTGTTTCTCTCCCTATTTCGCTATCACTTTGTTTTACCCCAGCGATGGGGAGATGCCCACTCTCCCGGGCCATTGAACAGCCAGTTGGCTGGTGTTTGATCTCCTCAAGGGGCCAGGGTCTGCCCTCTTTCTTGATCTTAGAATCCAAGGTTGGGGGGGATGGTGGTGGGAAGAGTTTGTTTTGGCGG